CCCAGAATGGGATCCCATTGGTTTTGACCCACAGCCATCTCCTGAGATCTTGCTGGGCCGTCACGGCTCAACCAAAAACAAACGCAAGGGTAGGGCTGCTCGCCAAGTGGCTAGAAAGCAGGCCAACATTGCAAAACATGTTGCGGCGGGTTGGGGTGTGCTCGCAGTTGAACACTTGCATGGGCCTCCGAATTCCAAAGAGTCGCAACTCTGAGGGGCATGTTACAATTCCTTCTCAAACGGCCTCAGTGTCCCGAATGAAAACCTATGGCCAAAGGCCCCAGGCCGGGTCCTCTTGCAGCCTGCGATGCAAAGTGCTGTGCCGCTCTTCTCCTTCCGCATCGCCTCCACGGGGCAAACCAAATCACCCAAGTCGGCCAATACTGATACTGTATCCAAGAAAAGTTTGACACGCGTCTCCAGTGCCGCATCTTCTGGGAACGCAGTCTCACAGGGCAGGGATCACCATCCACAGAACTGCACTCCTTTTGGCTTCGCTTCAGAGAAAGCACACTGCCCGGGCAGCTTTCTCAAGGCATGGGCATGCTGAGTCAGCCCACCTTCCGCTTTGCGGAAGCGAAGCATCAACCTGCGCTGCCCAAAAGTCACACCGGCTTGAGAGTAGTTCAATCCTACCATGTGATCTTGGACTACGCCATGGTGAGGAAAGCCCTCCTCCTCCCGCACAAAAACAGCATCTGGGTGTCCTGCCTTTGCCATTTCTTCTCAGACAAGCCCTCCCACGAATAAGATCCTTTTTGTGGCTCTTGTCGGTCCCAAACAACCCCCCAAAACAAAAACACAAAAAACATCGGGCACATGCCACAAGTCTCAGTGGCTGCACCTTTGCGCCCCCCGCCTTGCTGGGTCCAAGCAGCGCGGGTCCTGAAGGAGCTGTCAGAGCCTTTCGGGATGGGCGTCATTGGCTATTTAAATGTGGCCATTGCAAACATGCGCACATTCAACTTCACTTGGTGGATAGCCTTTGGAGGCTACAGAAAACCAAGCAACATCGCACCAGTCTTGCCCAACCTGTCTAAGCCGCGCTTGTTAGACAATGCCATCTCAAGGGAGATGGAACCCCTTACTGCCTAAGCACTCTCATCTTGTCTTTCACAAAGAACATGAGGAAACTGCGGTATGAATGTTTCGTAGGCTGCCACATGCGCATCCCCTCGCACCGCTCCTTCTGGAGCCTCCGCCATACAGGGGGAGCCCCCTGTAGCCTTCGCGCCGTTGGCTCCTTTCCCCTTTCCTGAGATGGTCAGAAGGCTGGACCTGTTCTGCATGCTGGTCAGCAACAGCACATTGGTAAACAAGTGGTTCCGAAACGGAGCCTCCAGTTGGTTTTGACAACCCTGCAACGTGAAATAAGGGATAACGCGCAATTTGAGCTAGAGCCATCCCAATGCCCGCAAGGCGCCAGCCCATTCACGCCCGCCCCAACACACCCAAGGCATGCCCAAGGCAGCGAACTAGGAAGTTGCCGCGCAGCTGCCAACCAATGTCTAAGCCCGAGGTGTGCCCCCTACCTTAGAAGAGCGAGCGCGCCATGGGCATGCGCAACGACCGCTCCAGCGGTCCTTAAAAACACCAAGACCTCGATGCCCGGTGGTTTCAAAGACGACCCCGGCTACGACCTTGTTTTCAGGCCTTCAACAGCTGGCTTCTTGACGTGAGCCGGCTGACGGATCCACCGCCGGGAGCTGAGCTGGCGCCGCCGCCGTCGGTTGCCCGCAGAACCCCGCTTCGGTCCCACGGCTTTCTCGAGCCACCTGGAGCAACAGGGCCAGACATTGCCACATGAGACGCTGCGGCTCACCCAAACAGGCGTTGTCTGTGAGCCACCGTACCTTAACTTACAGTTCTGCTAAAACCCAGATGCTGGGAGCTTCCGAGGCTCTGCTGGCACCAATGTTTGCTTACAAGAGGGGCATGCACTAACAACGCCCGACTGGCGAAAAACAATATTAGTGGAGAAGCCAAAGGAGGAGTCCGTTTGGTTCCTTGAAGAAACAAAAATATCGACTCCACCAACTTGGCTACAGAATCGGCGAAAAGCTGCCGCTTGCCTTTGCAAGGTCCTGAATTCCTATTTCGAGCCACGACGACCGCCGTGTGGCCAGAGGTGCGGCCGAGGAGACAGATTCACAGGGGGCAATCATTTGGTCCAGCCACCCCAAAAAAAAAAGCCACCCAAAAAGCTGGAAAATGGCTGGCGCTGATTCCCGCAACCTGTCATTGTATATCATCGCTTCTGAGACCACGTCCTCCCTCCAGTCCCAGCAGGACGCCAATGATGCCAAGCACGCCCTGACGTGCACGCCGCTGGCCATTCACAAGGCTTCCCCCGAACAAGGCAGCCCCGGCTCGAGATGGAGTTCCAGTTGGTCCATTCGCGCCCCCCACATGCAGAACGGCGTAAAGATGTGCGGAGCCAACATGGCACGCGCGACTTCCATTGCCCGGGCTGCCCGTCCGAATGTGACACATCCCTTTGGAGCCTGCAGAAGGCCCGCTGCTTTGGCCCCTGCGAGATTGCTCAGCAAGGCTCGGCAGGGTTGGCTGTGGGCGCAGGGGGGGCCTGGCCCGCGGGGGCTGGGTGCGAGAACACGCTCTTCCGGCCTCAGCAGGGAGTGAGGCCGGCACGTGCAAACGCCGGTCCGCCAACCATGAACGACGCCACGCCCCCGCACTTCTCGCTGCCACCGGCAGCATGCCTGCAGCCCCGCAAGTAGGGATTACTCGAGTCTGGCTTCCGAGCAGGGCAGCTTTCCAATCAACGCCCCGCCCCATCTCCTGGGGCCTGACCCCGTACTCTTGCCTCAGTCCGCCGAACCCCGGGCAAGCTCTGCAGCTCGGGGCAGTCGGCCGGCCGCGTTGCCATCCGCCGAGCTCGACAAGCGCCCGAGACATCAGGCGGCCTAAGAACCATCCTTCGCCGTAGCGCGTGGTGTTGCGCTAGCTGGTAAAGAAGCATGGCAAGGTAGGTCACAGCGGAAGCAAGGTGAGTTATGCGAGCTTGACTACAACGCAAAACCAGCAACACAACTACTGACCGTAAACGACGTGCAGTCTTTTCCCAGCTCGCTGAGCCCTTTCCCCCAGCCACCTCGAGGGTCTGCCGCTTTCCGCTGACGCGGCCCTGCGTTCACCGACCCCGAGTTGTGACGCCTTCAGAGTCAGGAAACACGGAGCAAACGGGCGCCTGCATCAAACCCCGCCTGTTTCAAGAGACCAGGTCTAACGGCCAGGCTGGCGACGATAAACACTACGGTGACCGAGCCGTGCATGCCTGCTGAAGGGCCGCGAGTCAACCCAGAACAAGGCCCGGAGGGCTTCCTTGAAGGTCCGAAACCAACTCTCGGCCCAGCCCCGCGCGGTGCACCAGAGCGGCTACGCACGTGCTGCTGCGCCCCACCATCGTGGGCACCTGCAGCTGCGGGAAGATGCTCCCGCCGCAGCTGAACTGGTGTAGAGATCGAGTTCGCAGGTACGGACGCATGCGCTGTGGTCCAGAAGCGGGCGCACCCGGCGGGAGCCACGCTGAGCACATTTCGAGATCCAGATCGTCGAGTTCTGGCCTCCCAGGCCCTGGATGCCTGGTAGGACTTCCAAGCCGGGTGCTCCTGCTCAGGAAGGTCGCTCGATGTTAGCTACGGCACAGCTGGTTGAGGTGCCCTGGCTTGAGTGGCGGAGCACCCGTCAACCGTGGACGCCCCTTACACGAAACTCCGGGAGCCGTTCGTGACTTTTTGGGACAACGACGCGGGCTCTAAGATCCACCTGCTGGCCAACCCGGGCCAGGACGTGGCCCCCATCGGTGCGGCCAGGCAGGAAGACAGTCTCCTGGAGTCGCAGATGCAGCTGGGCAGCCTGCAGTACCCGCACAACCCCATGAAGGGAGCCTCGGAGCACTTCCACTTCCTCTCGGTCCGTGCGGGGACCTACGATGACACGGTGCGCAACATCGACATCGACCGCGCTGGCTACCTGCGCCACAGCTTCATCGCGGGCTTCCCGACGGAGCGAGTGCCCAAGATGCCCCTCAGTGGCGTCAGCACCCGCTCGGGCGACCTGGCTCGGTTCACCTTCAAGGCGCTCGACTGCACGATGACGGACGTGTTCATCCACCTGATAGCCTATCAGCTGGTGACGCTCTCTGGCACGGGAGTCTCCGTGCTTGACTAGTAAGGGTCCATAGCTCAATTGGTAGAGGCTCTGCAGCTCCGAAGCCTGGAGACCGCAGGCTCGATTCCTCCCGGGCACGGATCATTTTCGCAGGCGAGTGCCTTTGGGAATTCTTTTTTTCTTTGAGCCGAGAAGGATCATCGCTGAGAGACGGATCTTCCCGACCCCAGCCCGGTGAGCGCCTCTCCTGGGAGCAAGAAATCCCCGAGACGGATCTTATCGCCTCCAGCCCGGTGAGCGCCTCTCCTGGGAGCAAGAAATCCCCGAGACGGATCTTATCGCCTCCAGCCCGGTGAGCGCCTCTCCTGGGAGCCAGAAATCCCCGAGACGGATCTTATCGCCTCCAGCCCGGTGAGCGCCTCTCCTGGGAGCAAGAAATCCCCGAGACGGATCTTATCGCCTCCAGCCCGGTGAGCGCCTCTCCTTAGAGTAAGAATTAAGCCATCAGCTCCGAGACGGATCTTCCAGCCTCCAGCCCGGTGAGCGCCTCTCCTTAGAGTAAGAATTAAGCCATCAGCTCCGAAACGGATCTTCCAGCCTCCTGCCCGGTGAGCGCCACTCCTTAGAGTAAGAATTAAGCCATCAGCTCCGAGACGGATCTTCCCGACCCCAGCCCGGTGAGCGCCTCTCCTTAGAGTAAGAATTAAGCCATGCAAAACTCCAGGCCCATCTTTCTGACCACTGCCTGCGATCCCAAAATCAACAATCATCATCCCTTGTTCCAGTTTCCGTTGACATCACGCGTGTCAGATCACGCATGTGAGAGCCCACATGTGAGATCACGCTGTGTGAGATCGTGAGATCCCGCCCTAACCCGCGCGCCTCTTGTCGCGGTTAATGGCCACAAATGTGCCGTCCTCCATTTCTTTCCTGGGTGCGCACAAAGCGATGGCTGAGCACCACGATGCACATGTCCCCCTACTATACTTGGGGAACCTGCAGCCGACCCTGGGATCTTCTGCACTTCTCCTGCCAAGCCTCATTTTCACAACGAGCATTCCACACGGAGAGCGGGCTTCCTCCATAATCTCTCGCAGCTTCTTCCTGACAATACCGTTCCCAGGAACAGGCAAGGCTTCCTATGGAGTGCACACTGGCCTCATCCCTTTGCTGCTGGTGCCAAAGCAAAGCGCCCCGCAAGATTCAGCCAAGATGCAAGTCTTCGTTCCAGGTCTCATGCCTGCCAAAAAACCGTGTGGCTTCGCCCCTCTCCCATCCTCGCTGTGCGAGAAAGGGCACCGAAGGGACCTCAGCCCACGCTTGGACTCAGCCCGCCTATCTTTCATCAGCTCGTTGAGTTTCTCGATGTGGCGAGTTTCAATGTAGAACTCGTCGCACAGCTCCTGGATGTCCTGGGCTTTGAGATCTTTGGGGCCGTGGTGTGCCAGCATGCAGCTTTCTTGAACATTTGCTTGAACCTGTAGGCTGCAAGAATGGGAACATGCCCCAGGGATCATTCGAGTGATTTGATCATGCTGGCTGTCGCGGGAGGTGCTAGGACTGGCCCTCAACTGAACCGCACAGTTTTGCTAAGGGTAGGCCCAGAAGTCCAGCCACGCCAAGATGCCGGGTGGATCCTGCCATGTTCTGAGACATACACGTCTCCCTCCTCACCTCGCTTATTCCTGGCGCCGCATCAATGAACGCCCGGGTGGAAACTGCCTCATGATTGTCAGGCGAGCAAAACCGTTAGACTATATGAGGTCTTCAGAAAGGAGACATGGTCAGCGCCTTCCCCTCCCCCGGAATCCTGCAACCCAATCCAGCCTGCCACATCTGGGGCACTGGAACTTGGAAGCGAAGCAATTCTGACCTAAGCGCAGTTCTGAGGCGCGCAGCCCCATCACTCCGTGCGCCATGTGCAGCACTGGATCTGAGTGTCGTGCCGCACCCGGGGCACAGCCAGTCACCCGGCTTGTGCCCAGGCAGAGGCTTCACTTCTCCTGAGCCGCCCGATGTCACGTCCACAGACGGCTTAAGATACCTGGAAGACAACCTGGCATCCTGCAAAATGACACATGGCAGCCCATCAAAGGGTGAGTTCTTGTCATACCAGCAGCAACCTCAAGCAATACTCAATAGATTCTGCCAAGTCGTGCAGTTCTTCGTTTTTGTTTACTCCTCTGCGCGCAACGTTAAATGAATGCAAACACGCGTATTTTGTTCTACCCCTCGTGCTGGTGCAATAGCAGCAACAGACTTGGTGTGTGGCACGGTGTGCCCAATTAAGAACGCAAGTGCGTTGCAGTCGCAAAAAGGGTTTGCGGCAACTGACAATTCGCTTGGTCCAGCGGTTGCGCCAAGCGGACAAGCTGGACCAACTGGGGTTTGACAGGGCCCAGGGGTCCAACAATGCAAGCCATGATTTTGGTGCCTTCTTGCTGGTTGTGTGCAAGTAGCCCTGAGCGGGCATGGCAACTGCCAAGATCCGAACCTCGATTTGACAGCCATTCTTCCAGTGGGACAACTAGCGTTGCACAAAGGTCATGCACATTCCTGGTGCCGCAAGCTCAATCAAAAACAGGCCTTTCACGCACAACAGCATGAGCGATTCGAACGTGTCAAATGGCTCGCATGTGTGTGCCCGACAAAGCCACTGCAGCCTTGGAAAAAGTATGAGCTGCGGAAAGCGCATATTCTCTCGCTTGCTCTCTCTCGCTCTCTCGCTCTCTCTCTCTCCCTCTCTCTCTCTCTGCCCCTCTGTCGCGCGAAGCCCAGAATATCACAGACACTTCCCAGCCTCGACACCAAAGAAGAATGGCTTTGCGTCAAAATGTTCGAAGCGACTGGGAACTATATCACCAAAAGAGTAACTAAGAATAAACATAATCCAAATGTGCCAAGGCCTGAAGTCGCGCCTGCGTCGCCGCCCTTGCCACCTTTGCCTCCACCTTTTCCGGGCGGAGGAGGAATTCCTGGGGGCCCTGGCGTCCAAGGCTGTTGGCACGAGGGCACGTTGGGTTGTCTTCCGGAACGATGACCACGGCACTTCGCCAACCACCCTCCGACGAAAAAGTCGAGCACTCCGAAAACACCTCCGACTTGTCCCGACCTCCCTCCCGGCCTGGTGGAGGGGGAACGCCCGGTGCCCCGGGTATCCCAGGCATTCCCGGCATCGCGTTCCTCGGCTCACTGCCAAGCATTTCTCGCAAGTTTCTTTTGAGAGCAAACTGCCTACGACCTGCGCGTTCCGCTCGGTCGAATGGAGTTCTGGATTCAAGGTTGTTTATCAAAGAAAATCGAACATAACTTGCGGCATCAAGAACACTCACTTTCCTGAGCGCACAACGGGGCCCACCCAGGCCACACCTCTAAAGGCGCTAAATCTTTGGCGAGCGGCATGCCCATCATGCCGCCCATCATCCCCATCATTGGGTTTGGTGGGGGCTGGCTAGGTGCGCCAAAGAGCTCGGGGTTGGTCATAGCCTCAGCCCACAGCACGCTACCTCTTTAAGTTGTTTGCAAGCCGTGAGCTGAGCTTGGAGCCATCATTCTCTGCAAGTTCGCAAAAGCGCTCTGCATCTGCCGCATGCCTTCTCCTGCCAGTTGCCTACTACAAGTGCTCCCTGGCGCGACCCGCCATTGCCATTCTCTGCGTTGGGTGCCACAAGCCGCAAAAAGGCCACCAGGCCACCACCCTGCATCAACAGCTGCTACATAGCACACACTATGCCTGGCGATTGATCGATCAGCTTTGCCGCTTTGCCCTTGAAACACAATGATTAGCAGCGTTTCCTAAGAGGACACGAATTGGGCCCATCTCCGAGGATTGATTGACCGTCCCATGCGCTGGTCTCACTCAGTTGGACTCCTTCGCCACCGCCATCCTCTTTGCCTGGCACATCTGTACACGTCAAATGCAAGGCACAAGTCTTCTGAGGAGAAATTCACGCAATTTGTATGGTTCAAAGTCAAACCTCTCAATATGCATCTGGCAAAAGCGACCTGAACCGGCCAATGCGTTTCTTCTGCACCCTGGATGAAGGCGTCCCGTACAAGTAGTTTTCCTTGCTGTCAAGTTGCCCGCTTTCTGCTTGCGTCCCATGGCAGGTCTGTCTGGTGCACCACAATGGGCACTGTCTGAATACGGCTGCGGGCCCAACCAAGCCTCTGCCGTCGCAGAATACATGACGAGAACCACTTTCAAGACGCAAGGTTGGCATGAAGAATGCTTGCAGCGCGAACTTGGTGCTGGGGAAGGGCAAGCGGAATGCAATTGCCCCTCCAAGCATAGGTGCATAAGTGGACTATAACGCACTCTTGCAAAAACACGGGTTGGAGACAAACGGGAAGGAGCACGGCAGAAGACTTTCCAACGCCACCCGCAGACTTTGTTTCCTTTTGGGCAAAACTTGTCCCAAAAGCAGTGCTTCCGCGTTTCCGCGCATTCCTTGTGTTGGATCCGCGTTGGGTTTTGAAGGACAAACCCAACCAGTTTCTCAAGCTATTTGTTTGGGGCAAACAATGTCGGCTTCGTACGGGGCTCGAGTTCATGTGGGCAAAACATGCACCAAGTTTGTTTGGTGCTTGTGCTTCCTTTCAGGCAGCCTTCCACTTCATAAGCCAATTTATTTGTTTGGGCCACGCTTTTCAGGTTTTCAAAGGGCAACCTCCCACAGTGTTTGGCAATCTAGCCAAGCAAAGTGGTGTTGTCTCTTGTGCGTTCGTGTGGGAAAGCGTCGGTCAAAAAGACATACGATTGGCTCTATCTAAACAACCCCGTTATTTTTGCATTCCTGATTGATGAATGATGCGCCGTAAAAACGGAACGGCAAACATGTTTTGCAGTTCGCTGTGCACAAATCTTCCGCATTGCCCCCCTTTCTGTTTGGTCTTTTGTGGTTTTGCTTGCGCCGAAAGCATTGCGGAGGGTTCTTCCGGAAAATCGCTAGCCATCTCCCACGAGCGCTTGCACCAGCAAACTTGCACAAACACCTTTGTTTGAGTAATTTCGCACGAGCACACTTGCACCAACAAGTGTGAACAAACACGCACTTGCACGAGCAGACTTGGTCGCGTACACTTGAACGCTTGCACGAGCACACTTGCACAAGGATGCTTGCACGAGAACATTTGATGGCACCCTTGCATGCTGGGGATCGGCGTGGTCGATGTGCACAAACTGGGACTTTTGTTGCTCTTTAACTTGCCGGCGCGACCCTCTGCGCGATCGGTGTGGTGTGGTCTATGCGCAAAGCCTGTGGAATTGTTGCTGCACAATGAGGGTGGCCGTGGTCAATGTGCAAAAACTGAGGATGTTTGTTTTTTTTTTAAACTATGTACACAAACTGAGGACTTGTGCTACTGTCTGGGTGCCCGATGCGCTGTCAATGTTCAGAAACTTTGGAGGTTACAGTTACATGGGCAGAGAAGGACATACCTAAATGCGCGCACACTTGCACAGGGCAACTTGTCGCAGACCAACAGACAGAGAGAGAGAGAGAGAGAGAGAGAGAGAGAGAGAGAGGGCGAGAGGGCGAGAGGGCGAGAGGGAGAGGGAGAGAGGGAGAGAGGGAGAGAGGGAGAGAGGGAGAGAGGGAGAGAGGGAGAGAGGGAGAGAGGGAGAGAGGGAGAGAGGGAGAGAGGGAGAGAGGGAGAGAGGGAGAGAGGGAGAGAGGGAGAGAGGGAGGGAGGGAGGGAGGGAGGGCGAGAGGGAGATGAGGGAGAGAGGTGAGAGAGGGAGAGAGGGAGAGAGGGAGAGAGGAGTGAGGGGAGAGAGGGAGAGAGGGAGAGAGGGAGGAGGGACAGAAAAAGGAGAGGGGATGGAGGGATCCCAGGGAGAGAGGGAGGAGGAACGAGAGGGAAAGAGAGGGAGAGAGGGACGAGGGGGGGAGAGAGGGAGAGTGGGAGAGAGGGAGAGAGGGAGAGAGGGAGAGAGGGAGAGAGGGAGAGAGGGAGAGAGGGAGAGAGGAGAGAGGGAGAGAGAGGGAGAGGGAGAGGGAGAGAGGGAGAGAGGGAGAGAGGGAGAGAGGAGAGAGGGAGAGAGAGGGAGAGGGAGAGAGGGAGAGAGGGAGAGAGGGAGAGAGGGAGAGAGGGAGAGAGGGAGAGAGGGAGAGAGGGAGAGAGGGAGAGAGGGAGAGAGGGAGAGATTTCACAGAGCACTTGCGCAGAGCAACAGGCACAGTACAGAGCAACCGGCACCGAGCGCTTGCACAGAGCACCGAGCAATGTTCGTAGAACACTTGCACAGAGCAACCGTTGTAGAACACTTACAAGTGCCACACGCAATGCGCAACTTGTGCGGAACCTGGAACTGGGTTTTGCAGCTACGACTCGAAAATTGCCAGCGCTGAGGCATACCACAGGAGGACACATTCACACGTTTGCAGCCATTTTTTTTGCACGATAACTTTGGGACAGGAGCGTGCGCGCAGACCTTAGCCGGACTCACGTTTACACATTTTCCCGAAAGCCTTGCGAAGGGTTCTTCCGCATTAGCGCACTTGCAGGAGCACGCTTGTGCGAAAAAACTTGCACGCGCACACTATCACAAACACACTTGCACGAGAAACCATGCAACAACCCAGGCACGTGGCTCGGGGGCGCGCTGGATTCCAACTGCTCAACCATCGCGCGAAGGGACGCCCCCGAACACAAACGGGTTTGGCGGCTGTTATTCGGAGGCCAACTCCCCACACGCAGTAGAGCTGGGGGTGCCAGGCCGCTTGAAGCGCACTGGTGCCGGCCGGTTAGATCCGCGTCTTCCCAACATGCACCTCTATGCCCGCATGCTCCTGCAACACAACACGAGCAACGTCGGCCACCGCATGAGCACAGGTGGGCGAACACGGTCCCCCGGGAGCAAGGCTGCAGCGCCGGGTGCTGCCCCAACGCGTGTAGGGCTGGCATGAGCGGGTCTCCCTGCTCCCCCCTTCTGCTTGGACAACGCTGTGCGGCATGCCCGCGTCGTCGTACCAGAGATACGTGCTGCTTTCCGCGTAGAACAAACGAGCGAAGGGACGAGCGTTGTCACCCGCTGGCTCGATGGACATGCGTCGCATGTGGGTCGCGCTTGCAGGTGAGGAAGCTGGCCTCCGAAAAAACAACCTGCGCAGCCCTTGTGGCGTCAAACAAGGCGACGTCATCAGCCCCATGCTCTTCAACGCAGGCCTGAAGCGGTTGTCAAAATCTGTGTTTTCCGCGAATTCAACTGCAAAACAATGGCGCCCAGCTCCAAGATCAGACTTTCCAGCATTTGCATCAATTCACTGCAAGATTTTGCATATAACATAATATCATCAGCAAAGCGGACGTTTGTCAATCGCTCTTCTTTGCCTACATGAAGGCCATGGTTCCTCAGTTTCTGCTTCCAATTTCGCATGGCATTGGAAGTTGCTGGCAGTTTTGTGGAAGTGTTGTAGGGCGATCGCTCTCACAGCTACTTGGGGAAATTGCTTTGCGGAGACCTGTCCAAACGCAGCTCAGTGGAACTGCGCCACCGTATCCAAGCCGCATGGGCCAAATTCCGAAGCCACAAGCAAGTGCTTTGCAACCCGCATATTTCTTTGAAGTTGAGACTTCAGTACTTTGAGGCCACCATCACGCCAAGTGTACTTTATGGTTTAACAACACTACCGCTTACACAAAGCCAGCTGGACAGATTACACGCTGCTCAGCGTCGCATGTTGCGATCTATTGTGGGATGGGTCCGTATTGAGGGTGAAGACTGGCGTGACACAATGCACAGAATGAAATTACGACTGCAACACGCGCTGGCGATGCATCCTTTGAGGCCATGGACGCAGCAACTATTTACCCGGCAATACAGGTTTGCTTCCAAGATATCTCGTCGAGATGATGCTTGGCCATGGGCAGTCGTTACATGGATTCCAGGTGATGGTTGAACCCATAATTTCCTGAGAGCGCCAAGAAGGAAACTAGGCCGCCCGCCGAAAAGGTGGGACGATAATTTGAAGACATTTGCACTTGAACATTTGCAAGGCAGGACGTGGATGGTGGCAGCTCGGTCAAGGCAATGGCTTGACAACGAGCATCTTTTTGCACAGTTTTGCCAAGCTACATGACTGCCTCGTGTGTTCCCTGTGTCCTTCATGGACCGTAGTCTCCTGACTCGAACGGGGCAAAGGCAAAGGCAAAGGCAGCCCTTGTGCCCAGGGCCCCCCCCTAAAAATGGACAGAGCCGCTGCGGAAAAAGGCGCGTGGCAAAAAAAAAAAAAAAAAAACGCTCACACAGGGCGAAAACGGCCCGGGCAGCAGCCTCCGTTCCGGCCGCATGCGTCCAGGAGGGTTTATGGATTCTGGGGGGGCTCAAGTATGGCTCAAACCTTCGTCCACCATATACTCGATTATGGGACCGCATCCCGAGGGTCCTGTGGGACACTGGCGGATGAATCACAACAAGGAGGAGAAACAGCGGTCCGGGGAGAACCGGCGATTCGCTTCTTGCGGCTCTTGGATGACTCTGACATCCCGGAGGGTCCCGACTCCTACATAATTCCGACGGAGTACTTCCACCGATTGGCGGCGGCGGTGGGGGGACTCCCCCAGACCCTGTCCGCCGAGCTCGGACCTCACCGCGCTGGAGGCACAGTGGGATCGACAGCATCAGTAGGTGGTTCATGAGAGCCGACCCCCCTCCGCTACAGCAACCGGAGTTCCTGAAGTGGCGGCATTGGCGGCCAGGTAGGATCAAGGAGATGGAGCCCACGACGCAGAGGGCACTGGAACTTCACCTTCGGGGCAAGTGGGCGGGCGTTTGCTTGCCCGCCTCGTCCCCTTCGCGGCGCACATCCCCTACATCAACTGTTGCGCCGACGTCCGGGCCACCAGCCGGCGGAAGGTGTCCCCCATGACCTTGCATGTCCTCCCCGACGGGCCAGGGGCCACACCTCGGCGAGCGTGGCGCAAGTTGTTGACGAAAGCGCCCCACGACAGCCTCACGGCTCATTTGGCTGGCGTTGGAGAACAGCTTCAGGGCACTCGTGGGCTCTGCGGTCTGCAGGCGGGATCCCGGAGTGCGCGCAGCGTCTCCTCGTTGGCTGGTGCCTCCACGGGCCGCAGCCGAGAGTTGTCCTAAGTGCGCGAAAGCCGCAGCCTGCTCGCCCCTGGCCTCAAGCGAGTCAGGCGGGGCCGGGTCTGGCCCCAGCCGGGGCCCGCGCCGGCTGCAGCAGCTGGGCCCACTCGCCCGCCCTGAACAACGCGCTTGGCCATGCAGCCGGGACAGCGGCGTCCTGGGAGCCAGCAGGAACAGCTTCCATCCCACAGCTTCTCGCGCTGCCGCGGTCCCCGGCGCGTCTCGACGCGGAGTACGTCATCGAGGGCACGAAGACCACGCTGCAGCGCAGCGTCCGCCAACTCGACATGATGATGGCTCGTGCCCAGTTGCGTTCCAGACCTTGGTTTTGCCAGCGTTGAAACGGATGTGCGCGTGTCGCCACAACGCGTCCGAGAGCATGTCAAAAATCGGGCGGATGCGTTTTTTTTTCACAAGCCTTTTTCCGTCGAATCCCCCCAAAACCCTGCTTGAAAGGGGGGACCCGGGCATTAGGGGCAATCACGCCAAAAGAGGTGGGTTCACACAGCAAAGTCCCCCCACGCGGAAGGCTGAGAGCCGGCTGGCGAGCACCTCAAGAACAGGACCGGTGCGGTCCGCAAGCACGCCACAAGAAGAGCGGGCGCAGGGCCGTCCAGGCGAGACAAGCTGCGGAAGGCAAGGCGGACAAGCTGGCAGCAAAGGCCTGCATGGCAGCAGCGGTCAGGAAGCCAGACCGGCGGTGGACCAGGGCGGCCTGGTAGGCAAAACGCAGGGCCGCAAAAAAATATCTGGTTTTGGCCCGGGCAATCAAGTTTATAGGAAATTACTAATCCCCGAACTCGGCTGGCCAGTTGGACGTGTTGGACAGCCCACGTGACCAACGCCGTGGTTGCAGCGGGTGACGCTCGGCCAGCGCTTCCGGCCAGAAGCGTTCCAAACGCCGTCGAACCATGCCAAACGAACTCAAGCGGAGACACCGCCGGCTGAGAGCGCGCTGCTGCCAGTCCTTCCAGGCAGCTGACCGTTGATCACGGGGTCGGACGCCCCCCCATTTTTGTTTTTGTTTTCGGCCCTGTTTTTGATGGGGGCCGGGTGCATTTGTTTCTTTTCCTGGCTCCCGCCTCCGTGCGTGCGAGGGTGAGGCTTATCCATGCGACGGCACGCTGGGCGGCCTAGGCGCGCGCCTTGTGCCAGCTCAGGGGGCGCATGTCTTGCGGCATCGGTCCTGCGGCGGCTTCTCGCCCGGCTGTGGGGTCGGTTCCGCCGCAGCCCCCCGCCTCGCCCGTGCCGTGGCGGGCAAGTGGAGTAGACGGAAAAGGCGGACGTCGCAGCATAGCTTGCAGACCGGCCCAGTATAAGGATTCGGCCAGCCACCAGGGCCTAGCTAGCTCATGTCCGGCCTCCAACTTCCTCATGTTGCCTCTTCGCCTGAGCTCCCTTCGGTCACTCCTCCGCCCTCCGCCGTTCCGGTGCGCCCACCTTCCCCCGTGCCCGGGGCAAGCTGCCTAGCACCTACTGGAGAGGTCCGGGGCTACCAGCCGACCCACCGGGAGACAATTGCCCGGCGTGCCTGGAACCCGTCCTTCCCCACGGCATGGGCGAGGACAGCGCGTGCTTTTCGCCTGGCTGCTCCTGTGCATTGTGCCGTTTGTCGTGGCAACCCGGTTGGGATCCTGAGCTTGTCCAGTGGTATGTTAGCCTGATGGCTTCGGCTTCCCGCCCAGCTGCTTCCACCGTCCCGGCCGCGACTGTTCCTGCCCCAATGCCTGCCTCGCCCTCGCCAGGGCGGCCTCTGCCCGCTGAGGCTCCCCCACCGGCCCTAGCCCCACCTTCTGTGCCTTCGGACGCGCGCCTCGCTGCCCAACCAGCGCCAAGCGGGTGGTTCGTTGCCATGCCGCCTCCCTTGTCCAGCCCCCTCCCGCCGACCCACAGCTGGATCTTTGTTGCCTTGTTGTTGGCGGGAGTTCGCCTCCTACACACAGAGGAGGCATGGCACCAAGACCGTCGGTTGAGTGGATTTTGGCATCCTTGCGTCGAGGAGTTGCGTCGGAGCGGCTTAGTGCCTTTGGACACCTTGCTCCACCTGTTCCACGCCCTTTCTGAGGTTCACAGTGCCGCTGCTCGCGGCCGCCTCTCCCGTTTGGGGTCTCTGCGTTGCAGCGTGTCATCTCCGACGGTGCGGCTCTTCCCTCTGGCTCTTCCGTTTCTCTTCTGTGGGCTCTTGAACGCCTCTCCTCCGCGGATGGGTGTGCACCTGCCTTCGCTCAAGAGGCGCTGCTGCAGCTTTTCTTGGGCGACCGGGTGGCTTCCCAGCTTGCTCAGCACGTTGCTTCTCTCCGCCCTGGACTTTCCGAACCTGCAGGCCAGAACCTGCCCTTGCCACACCGGGCTGCCCAGCGCTCGGCCTCCTGGCTCCCCACCTCCCGAACCTGCGAGCTCGGCGGCGCCGTGCCGCGCCCTGGATTTTCCAACCCTGCGGGCCAGCCCACGCCCTCGCCGCGCCCAGCTGCCCAGCACTCGGCCTCCCCGCTGCCCATCCCTGCGGGCAATGCTCCTCGGCGCACTCCCCCGCCCCCCGCCGCGGCGGCGGCGGCCTTCCCCACTTGGCGCGGACACAGTCCCCTTCACTCCTGCTGTGCTTCCCGATGCGCCTGTGGATGGCCCGTCCGTTCCGCCGCCGCCTCGCCCAGCATCGCCCACTGAGGACGCCGCCAGCGATTTTGCCAGTGCCCCTGTCAACCCGCCCGAGTTTCAGGAACCACCCCGGCTGCACAGCGCCGCTACCCGAGCGGCCTTGCGGGCTCTTGATGCGGTGGATTTGTCCGAGTGCTTTGGCAACGTGCTGCTGAGGCGGCTCAAGCTGCTGTGTCTTGCGTTGCTGCTGGGGTGTTGGCGCTTTTGCTCAGCAGGTTGTTCAGAGTCTCAATGTGGGCTGCTGGGCCCCTTGGGCTGACTGATTCTTGATCCTGGGCCGGTCCCCCAGCTACGCTGTTTTAGATTTTGTGTTTGTGTGTGTGTGTGTGTGTGTCGTTTTTTGTCCTTTCTTTGGGTTATTTTTCCGTTCCTTTTTCCTCAGCCTGCAGGGGAGGTCTTATTCCAGTGCTGCTTTTCAGTGTCCACAGCGACTTGCGCGGCGGTCATCCCACCAGGTTTAGGAGCACGTTTTCGGCTACGCAAGCTCCAGCCTCTGCGCAGCTCTCACATGCCAACACACGCACACCGCACGGTGGTGCCCCCAAAGCATCCCCCGACATGAGCACACCCGCTTGAAGGCCTGGGATGCTGAACTGTGGGGAGGACACTGAAGAGGCCGCCTGCTTGGGAAAGGATCAAGGTCAGCAAGGAGACCTGCCTCGTCAGCGGCGTCAAGCGCCATTCCAGCAGCACGCTGCCAACAGCAGGTGCAATCAGAAGGGCAGCTTGGTCAGCGTTAGGGAGCTGCTGGACTCCTCACAGTTCAAGGCACAGAGAGCGGGTCACCTTGTTCCCCCCCCACACTGGTCGATGCTCAACCCAGAGCAAAAGGGAGGCCGGACCATGAACACAAGCGCGTGCGACAAACGCCGCTGCGAAATGAAGCAGCTCCAGCGCGTTGGCCTTGTCCGCGAGCAACTTGAAATGCTCAATCCGCGGCACTTCCAGAAATGTCGGCCGTTTGAAAACTGTCCCCCTGACGCGCCACTGCTGGCACGGCGTCGGGGCCAAGGTAAACCTGCTGCAGTGCCGCCGGCATGCCAAAAGAGAAGAAAAGAGAACAGAGAAGAGAGAAGAGAGAAGAGAGAGAGAGATAGAGAGGAGAGGAGAGGAGAGGAGAGGAGAGGGAGAGGGAGAGGGAGAGGGAGAGGGAGAGGGAGAGGGAGAGGGAGAGGGAGAGGGAGAGGGAGAGGGAGAGGGAGAGGGAGAGGGAGAGGAGAGGAGAGGAGAGGAGAGAAAAGGAGAGGAGAGGAGAGGAGAGAAAAGGAGAGGAGAGGAGAGGAGAGCAGAGACAAGGAGAGGAGAGAAGAGCAGAGGAGAGGAGAGGAGAGTAGAGGAGAGTAGAGTAGAGTAGAGTAGAGGAGAGAGTAGAGTAGAGTAGAGGAGAGAGTAGAGGAGAGAGAGGAGAGCAGAGCAAAGGAGAGGAAAGGGAGCAAAGGAGAGCAAAGGAGAGGCGAGACGAGAAAAAAGACAAGCGAAGAGAGCAAAGAAGAGAGGAGTGAAAAGGAGAGCAGAGCAGAGCAGAGAACAAAGCAGAGAAGAGGGGAGAGGAGAGGAGATGAGAGGAGAGGGGAGGAGAGTGTCACCGGCATACAGGCAGAAGTTTCATGCAGCCACCTCACGAGCGTTTGGCAAACGTCAAAGCGGGCGCGGTGCCATTTCGTCATGAACGCTGGAACGATAAAATCGCGCTTGGGGGTATTGGGTGCGCCTGTTGCCAACGGCCTCTCAGCTACAAAACTGAGCGCAAGCTGCAAGCTAGCGGCTTTTTCGAAAACCACAGCATACTGCACATCACTGCACTTTCGGCAGGTGACTCGCTGTCTGCTGAAATGATGCGTCTTGTTTGGTGATTGTCAGGCATCTCTCCAGTACCATGTTTCTTTGTGGGAGGTCAAACATCTTCCGGCCGCTTTTCGGCCGCAATGGCAACGCGTGGCTACGAGTGAGTTTGACTCCTCCTGAGCTGCTTCGAGAGTGCCCTCCTCACGGTGGGTATCTGACCACCGCGCGCCTCAGGTCGAACTGTCAAGTGGGACCCTTTAGTGTACATCATTTGCATAGGGATTGTGGTCCTCACTATTCTTGAAGCTGTTTCCGACCAAGAAGCTGTGGGGATTGTACTGGGTGCTACAACGCAAGGGAACCTGGATGGACGTAACACCAAGCCAGAAACGAGTACCAGACTCAGCCCTGGTCGGCAAGTGCATAGTCGAAACCGACTTGTCATGAACCCATGTCTCTTGAGTTGCAACCTGACCGCCAGCATTGTTCTCAATCAATATATGTATGCACGCTTGAGGCAAGCATTGCACAACCCAAGAGGCTCGCTACGATTACACCGTGAGGAACTCTTGGTCTTAGCAGCCATAACCAAAACATCCTGAGAAAGGGAAAAAAAAAGAGGGGGAAAAAAACGAAACGCTGCCAAACCGATGCCAGATGGCTCATATTGACCTTTCCCTCTGATTGACAGAACTGGGTGAAATGAAAGTCTCAGGGCCTCCGAAGCGGCTCGATCCTCGACTTGCCGAAGCGCCTCCCTGCGGTCCTGGAAGGTCGATGCATCCACCACAAGAAACCTGCAGTGAATCAGGGCGCAACACTTCAGAGAAACGCCCTAAAAAAGAACGTGCCATGAACATTGTGGTAGACCAGCGACAGCCTTGCGCAGCTCCAGAACCAACTAGATGAACAAGGCCTGCTAATGCAACCCGCCCGTTGACACTTGTAGGGTGGGGGGTGGGGGGGTTCAGAAACCATCGCCGCGGTCTGTTGAGCGTCTGCCTCTTGGCAACCGTTGCTCGCCTCCTTTCGGCGATGTCCGAGGTGGACAGGAAGTGATCTCTCACCTGTCAACCACGCTGAAAGATCGTTTGCTTCAGTCGGACGTGACGGTGAAAGTCATGTGGCCGTCGGGTCCTCGCAAGTAATTACAAACAACCTCAAATTGAGTGCATTGCCATCCTGCAAGCAAAGGCATCACGCAGTCAGACAGCCTCAAGCGCTTCGCCCTGCATGTTCAAAGAGGCAACTACAACTCAAAACGTTTGACGAGCTTACGACTCATTTCCAGTGGCCTGTGAAACCAGCGGATGGCCCCACTGCTTCAATGACGCTCCAAGACCTGGCCTCGCTGCTGGGCAGGGCACCCTCCTGCAGGATAACTGCCGACCAGTCGCCCTGGCAAATGGCCAGAGGCAAATAAACTCTATATGAGTCTCTCTTTTCGGCCCCAAATTGTGGTTTTCCCTTGGCTCCCTTTAACACCAACCGAAAGATGCTGCTGCAGTTTGGTGTAGGCGCTGGCAATTCTGGTGGTGCTGCTCATCATCAGGATCGTCACGATCCTCATCATCATCATCATCATCATCATGATCATCATCATCATCATCATCATCATCATCATCATCATCATCATCATCATCGCCATCACCATCACCATCACCATCACCATCACCATCACCATCACCATCATCATCATCATCACCATCATCATCATCATAATCATCATCATCATCATCATCATCATCATCACCATCACCACCATCACCATCACCATCACCATCACCATCACCATCACCATCACCATCACCATCACCATCATCATCATCCTCATCATCATCTTTCTCACTGACACTAGCCTCCCAACAAGCATTTTAGCAAGCGGAGTTGAGTAAGGAGTGCAAAAAATCCCAGTCCATAGAAAACCGGCAGCGCAGAATAAATGCGCTCTGGGGACAAACGTACGCAAACACACATGCCCACGCGCACATGAGCGGCCGCTCCGCATCGACGCTGCTGCTTGTCGCCATCACCAAAAGGCCTCTCCTTGTTGTCTTTGAAGCAAAACGGAGTAACAAAAGAGGGACATGGATCAAGGTTCTTCTTCCTGTGACTCAGAACTTGACTAGATGATCCCTTCGCAAGGAAGTTGGTCTTCCGGTTTCGCTGCATCACCGCCATCTGGTTACGCGACGAGCCTGCAGCACCGCCTTCCAATCCCCGAGGTCCTTGTTTCGCTCCTGCGCAGCGTCTGACGAGCTCGTCGATGGAATTTGCGGAAAGCCCCCTTGAAGAAAACTGAAAACCCTCACTTTCAGTGGCGTTTAAAAGAAAGACTGGAATAGAATATGGAAAAGGAACCACCTGGCGTCAAAACCCGAAAGTGATCCAAAGCCAGCTACCACATGCCTTGGAGCAAATAGAAATCGTCGCCTCGGCCAGAAGCAGGTGGCCGGTACAACAGCGAAGGGCCTCCCTCCTGCGTGGAAAGGTTGGCGCTTTGTAGGAGCAAGATCAGCTACACATGCAATATCATATAATAACGAAACATGGTTCATTGCAAGTAGCATCAAACCTTCAGGGGGATGACTTCATTTTAGGGCAGAGTTCGGGCCAAAGTTGTTGGGTCGGGGCATGCAAACGAGACAAATGACCAACATAAAACTTGGCAGGAGTTTGGCGAAGGCTGTGGGTCAGGCGAATTTAAGTTCAGTCAAATGAAACTAGACGAAAAACACTGAAACAAAACGAAGCCAGACAAACAAAGGCGTCCGAGAAGTAAGCAAACCACAACCAACCACCAAGCATAGACAAGTGGCTTTGGCTGACGGGATCCCCTTTCATAGAGATGCCCAGGGCTGGTCTTGCCCCAAGAAGTGCCCTAGCGATTTCACAGCCAGACTTGTCTCTGTGTGCTTAAGAGCCACATGAGCACTACCCTGAGAAGCGGCTTGGATCAAGACAGAAATCAGTGCTGCTTGCAGGACTGCACATCAACGGTCCCTTTTGGCAAAACAACTGAAGGGGTCTCCACCCCCTGCTGATTCTCCTCCCATAGTAACAAGAGTGTGGCACCAATTCTTGGTGTCAAAGTCAGGCCTCACGCACTCTTGTGAACCTCTTGCAAAACGCTGCGTGGCCAAGTGAATCAAACAAGCTGCGGAGTTCTCTGCGGTCAGCACCCACCCACCCGGTGTCCAGAGCGTCAACAGTTCATTCTCCGCGCCATGGCAAAGCCTGGCAGGAGATCGAAAGTCGCAAATGGACCGCCAATGAATGAAGGTATCAGCTATCCCCCACATCATCGGAAAGATCTTTATGTTCTCAAAGATCGATAGGCTCGCCACTGTGCAACTGCTTGGATGAGACCCTGGGCATGGGAGTGGTAGAATCCGCCTAGAAACATGAATACTTGCAGCTCTTGTGGTAGAATCGTTGATTAAAACAATCTTTTTGTCTCGGGGAGGGCCAGTGCTCAGCCCAGCCCCAGCGCAATCCAACTCGCCTCTGCAGCGCAAACGGCACCACGACGACATCGAACTGTTTGTCCTGCTTCGGCCAGCTTCACAACTTCTCTTCTGGGTGGAGCAAAGGGGCGCCTCTGCATACTCGTCTCATGGCCCTGCACTTTGACCTCCCCCAACGTAGCCTCAGTCTCTTCAACTCTTTCTCCCTGACTGCCCGCTTCAGACTCCATCCTTTCCACACAGCCGCTCCCCCCCATTTCTCCCCGTCATCGTCCTCCACCTTCAGCGCCGGCGGTGCGCCCTTCAGCAAAGCCTCAGCTGCCCACGAGCTTCGAAGCTGTGGGTTATCTGGGAGGCCAACGTTTGCAGGTCTCTCAACAACGGAAAACAGCTTAAATAGCTGAAATGGAAGTGCAGCCTGTGGCTGCAAAGGCTGGGATGGTCGATGGCTGTGGCTGTAGGTCAGTCTGGGCGGGTATAGTGAGGGCTTCCAAAACTACCTGAAACTGAGCTCGGGGCACCGCCCACTGGATGGCGCGTCTTATCTCTGAGAGTGCCTAGGGCGAGTCAGGGCTTCAACAGCATTGAGGCTTGTCAAAGCTGCAAAGGGCATTCTGCATCCCTCATCTGCGGCATGCTAGCAGATCAGATTCCCGCAAGGCTCCCCCATGTTGACAACACACGTACGTGAAAGTCAGGAAGTGTACTCCTGCGTGTGTGCCTGGGTGCTGTATCCGCTGGCTGAACATGCCTCCTGCCGAGTAATTCGCCGCTGTGGCACAAGGATTCACCACCGCACGCTTGAAACAGGTAGCTCCGTTTTCTTGAGGCTCCTCGAAAATACTTGAACATGTCATGTTTCTGCTCAGGGGATCATCTGGTTAGAAGAGCTGTGCTGTTCTGCGCTCCCCGCCCCGTGCCTGAGGCAGGCGCCCAGAGATCGGCGCCTCGGCAATGCCGCCCCCTCCGCGGCCACAACCACCACATCTTCCAGGGAGTCCTGGGACCGTTTGCGTAGCTCGTAGCTGCCCTTCAAAGGAAACCGCAGCGGGTCCCATACTTTAGGGAACACAACTGGGACCTGCAGTGACTTACAGCAGCGCTGGGACACCTCGCTTTGGCTGACTTGTTGGGTGGCGAATCGAGGAGCAACCCTGCTCACGTTCTCGCGACTGAGCCCAAGCTGACAAGATGCGGGGATCCCAGATTTGACGTGCGAAAGACAGGAAACTAACAGAGTCAAACAAAGTAACGGTTGGACATGGCGACATGGAGCATTGCGCATCGCTAATCTTACACGTAGATTGACATTGCCGTTTGAAAAGAAGCCATTGCAATGAAAGGAAAATCAACTTTGCTAGGAAACACAGGGAAGCCATTGCCGTTTGAAAGGAACGACATGTCAAGCTGCAAGGCATCCTTGAACGGTCAAGTCCTGCAGGTGCTTTGCTAGGCGCCCGGAGTGATCAAACACCAGCACCCGCAGCGGCGCACCAGCGGCCCGCAACCGCAGGCTCGGCAAAAAGCGCCTAGGCAGAGTCGGAAGGGGCCCCTTCCACCGAAGTCAGGTCTGGAGCACTTTCGCATGGCTACGAAACTCCCTAAAACTTAGGTACTTGCGTTTCAAGGAGAAGATGAAGGCCCATTTAGAGACAAACCCATTTTGCTTGAACCTGCACGACTCCTGCGATAAGATCCCAGCTTCTGCCATTCATGCAGCATTGGGCCCAGGAGGTCGATAGACGTCCTGACAGCAAACACATCAATTCCACAGATCGCGGATATCAACCACCTTCCAATTGAGTCACAATCAAAACCTGGTAGTAAAATGGTCTACCCAGAACCATCTAAAGAACTAAGAAGGCGGCCGCAACTATTTCTCGCTGGGACTGCCCCTTGCTAACCTTCATCTACCCGGGTTTTGATTGTCGCTCAATTGGCCCGTTGGCTCTTTGTAACTGAAAGCCACCCTGTCTAAGCGGCAGCCATTCGGGCCTCTCGACTCTCAGGCATCTTGCCTGTCCGAAAATTGCGTATTCCAGCCAACAAACAGCGGCTGCCTCGTGCTCACCATCGACCAAACGACTTTATCTGTGTAACTCTTGCCCATTGAAGTTGCTCCTATAGAATGGTCAACAAGGTGTACATAGATATTTGGAATATTGTATATACACATATATATATATATACATAATTCAGCCAAATAGCTGAACCCCGCGGCCCAAACGGGATTACCCCAAAAGGTCAACCACCTGCCGCTCGCTCGCTCCTGGGCTGGTGCTTGCAGCTGGGAGTAATTGCTGGCAGCCCAGTTCGGGCATCCAGCTCAGGCAAGCGGCCTGTGGCGAGGTTGGCCTTTTGTGCGCTTGAGGTTCGATTGCCGCTCTGGGTAGGAGAATCTCCGAATGAGGAGATGAGGAGTGTGCCATGCCGAACATGCGCCCATCCACGCAGCAACTGTCCGGTGGCCCGACGGATGAGGTGTCGCATGCCCTCCCTTCATCATGTGTTGTGTGTGAAGGTTGGCTATGTCCAAGCTCTACGAACATGCGGAGGAGCACGAATACCAGGTCTTTTGGAGGGCTTTGAGTGGCCATTCAACGGAACCAGATGTGGAACAAATCCAATCCAATGCGCAATAAGAATGAGAATAGTAACACTCCGGCCACAATTAGCACATCCCACGCCTGTGTACACCAAGGACTGCTGCACGTCTGCCGCGTCGGGCCAGCTCACCACTGTGCCGCTGCCCGCCTGACATACCGCCCCTCCATGCGGTGCGTAAACATGCAACTCACCGACATCCAAGTATTCTAGGGGTACCTTCCATTTCCATTCTTTCAAGGAAACCACAACAGCCGGTTTTCGAAAAGAACGATGGTTGAAAGGAACGGCGTTCGCCTCCTCAAAAGAATGCATGTGGCACTTGTTGCAAGCAGCGGGGCTGGAAGTATCTTGCATGAGCAAGTGGACATTCGCATTCTGACACATGTGTTGTTTTATGAGGTTGGAAGTTCACACAGAGTCATAAGAACCAACACTGCTGTTCAACTTTGCTTCCATTTCAATCCACCAAAAGGCAGCGATGGGATCCGCGGAGTGTGAGAAGTCGGCCTGGCCGGCGCGCTGCAGCGCCAAGCGGAGCTCTACCTCCTCGCATGCGAAGAAGCGGTCGAAGTAGCCGGTTGGCTCCCAGGCCAGGTACCTCGAAGCCCCATGGGCTGTGGGGCTGAAATGCCTCCTGCTGCCCCTTTGAAGTGAAGGCGAAGCGGACAACCGTTTGCGCATCTTGAATTGCGGCAAGCGTCATGCACTCCGGCGTGAAATAAGCAAAGGGCGGATGTTGGTTTGAGTCCCAGGGGCATGTTGAGGTCTGTAGAGATTGCTTCGGAATTTGTTGGCCCACAGATGCTTCTTGCCCAAGGATGGTTAAATGTTGTACTGCAGTCGCACATGAAGCATCCAGAACGGACGTCGGATTCAGTGGATTGTAGATCCGTTTAAGGTGCGTGGCACCTGGTGTCCCAAATTCTGGGGGTCGCTAATCTTGAAACACTGTGTGGGCACCGCATACGTGCCCTTGACGCATCCCTCTCACAGCAACTGGCAAATCAAACTGGCAACCTCTTGAGCGATGTGTCCAAGAATGGGATGCCTTTTCTGAGACCCTTTTGCCCCTCTCCCATGGAACAATGAGTTAGAAGTTAGAGCCAAAACTCCTGGACCCTGACTATCGTTGAACCTATGCTACAAACCAACTGGGAACATAGTACCTGCCAAAGCCAATGTCGCACCTCGGCTGCCCCGGCGCGGCGTCCAGACCCACCACGCAGAACCTTGGAGAGGGGACCTGGATGCTTTGCGCCATGTCCCACACTATCCTGATCCATAGCTCATTTGTTTCTTCACCCACAGACTGCATACTGATTCCTATTGCATCTCCTCCTTTTTTCTTTGCGCGGGACCATCTCCCGAGCACCTGTTGCATCGCAACACCAACGCAAATTCCTATCCAAGCCAACCTGCCTGGCTCTGCCATCCCCAAACCATCAGTCCTTCCTTGCCAACCGCTATCGTGGGGTTTCCCAAAGGCCACATCTGTCTACCTCCGCATCTGAGGCGCTGGTATGTGCCGTTGCGTCTGGGCTCCACGGGACAGGTCATGTACCGCTGGAAGAAGGTACCGCGCGGCACCAAACCGCGCACGCCCAGCCCCGCTAGGGCCACCAGCTCCGCCGGCCACCCGCTTTCCTCCAAAGGAACGGCCGGCCCGAGATCAAACCCGCAAAACTCTCTCTCTCTCTCTCTCTCTCTCTCTCTCTCTCTTCTCTTCTCTTCTCTTCTCTTCTCCTCGGCCACCTTGGCCCGCGCGCTCGGGCCCCTCGCAGTCTGTGGCGAGGGCAGCGCTCGGCACTGCCCCCCCGCCAGCGGCCGCGGGGGCTGGCGGCACTGCCTGCTCCGCGGCAGCGGAACCGCCGCCTTCAGCTGCGGCCCCAGGGACTCCCCGAGCCGGGCGTGGCGCTCCAGCTCCGCGCGCAGGCTGCCTCGGAAACGGGAAGAAAGCCACGGTCCTGTGAGGTCCTGTGGCTTTAGAAAGGAAAGAGCCAAAGAGGACAGGCAACACAAGGTGCCAGGTGGCAGCAAAGCGTATCCTGAAAAAGGAACTGCCACTCTTTCCCCCCACATGCAAGCAACACCTCCTCTGCTGATATGTCTGCACTTAATTGATAACATAGCATGCCCCAACAGCGCAAATGTGCTTTCGCCTCTATCAAAGTCTTCAGCTTCGGCCCAGGCACCCAAAGGGCAGGGGCTGGAGGTATAGTAAGGCTCCCTCTGCTCCATGAGTCAGCGAGTGGCCAAAGCAAATGCCAGGAACTTGTAGCACAACGTCCCTCGGCCGAGTTGGGCTTCTTGTCGCAATGCTTGCGGGTGTATTGATCAGCCTCCTTCGTGCTCAGTCACCAAGCAAATATGAGAGTTGGCAACACGCGAGCTGGGTCTTTTCTGGAACATTTTTTCCGGTGTTGTTTGGCTGGCATTCAAGGCTTACGCATCTGACCCTTTTCTGCATGCAAAACGAGCCATCATTTCGGGTAGCTGCAGCCTTTGGGCCGAAAAGCGATTGGCCAGTTCGCAGCGATCCAGTGTGTTCGCGCCAGGATCTGACAGCCAAGTTCAGTCATGCAGAGATCCGCTGCAATCTGTTCAAAGTGATTCAGAGCAGTACCCTGTCAAGTTCCGGCCCTGGGTCAAGCTCGCATCTTTCGCGACCGCCTCTCTTTTCTCTCCCTGCACTGCCCCTATTCAGAGCAGCGCTGGGAGATAACTGGATGGGATGGTGGTGCATGAAGATGGCAATAAAACCAAAAACGCCAGGCACACAGAAAGTCTCTAAGGCGTCTATAAAGTGGACCGGCCTTCCTCATAGACAACCCCGGGAACTCCAGCCCGAGGCCAAGAGCAAACCTCCGGGGAAGGAGAGAAGACGCTTCTCGGCGAGACTCGCCGCACGGAGTCCCAAATGTCCTTCTGACACCGCACCTCACCCAAACCCAGAGACTGCCTTACCCAACTCCAAAACCAAAAAGTAAGTGAAAAATTGTCAAGATGGCTGAAGGGGTGATTCATGTGCCTGCAGGGGTCATTTTGTGGCAGCGTTCAAAGTGTCTGAAGGGGTCATTTGAAAGGAAACCCTGCACCATTCAGGCGCTCTTGGCCTCGCCCAGGTCCAACCTTGGGGTGACAACAGAAACCTCACTTCAAGCTTGGCAACCACAAAACCACAGGGGGAAAGAAACGGAAAGAAATGGAAAGAAATGGAAGGAAGGAAAGAAAGAAAGAAAGAAAGAAAGAAAGCAAGCAAGAAAGAAAGAAAGAAAGAAAGAAAGAAATAACAAAAAAAAGGAAAAAGATGGAAGGAAAGAAAGATAGGGAAGGAAAGAAAGAAATGGAAGGAAAGAAAGAAATGGAAGGAAAGAAAGAAAGAAAACATGAATCAAAGAAAGACCCATGTTTAAGGTTGCAGCTTCTGCTCAATAGCTGAAAATGTTTGGCCTGCGCACTCCTAGCTGTGAAGAACCCATGGGTCTGCACCGCCTCTCTGTTCGAGCTGTGACGTGATTGGAATTGTTTGATTGCAGCCCAACTTGTAATCATACGAATCGCACCCGTAGCCAGCCAGAACTGAGACTTGGCCAAAGGTGAGGGCTAGCTGTGGCTCAAAACAGAACGCGGGCCCCAACACCGTGGTTGGTGAAGGTTGAGACATACAATCTTGGGTCATTTCAGCCATGCCCATCGAGCACCGGTCTGTTAACTGCCGTGCAGCACTGCGCCGACGGGGCAGGTGTGGCCTGTTTTTTGTTCTGTTTTTTCTTTTCGTGTCGAAAACGGAGGCGCTTCACTTCAGACTTGGGCCCCGGGCCACTCTCCAAGAGTCGCCTCCGCCCCGCAGCGGCTGCGCCCCGCCACCGCCGACCTGGCGTGGCTGGCTGGCTGGCTGGCTGGCTGGCTGGACCCGGGCTGGACCCGGCTGGACCTGGGCTGGACCTGGGCTGGGGTGCTTGGTTGAGACGGCCAGATGTTCAACTGGGATCTCGAACCAACACTCGAGGAGGTTCTTGGGGAGCGAAAAGACTTGCACATGCGCCCCGCTGTTCTCTCTTCAATTGGGCAGCAGGCTGTGATTCGAGCACACCCACTCCAACAGTTTTCCTGTCTGCATAAACCTGCGCCTGCCAAGATGCATGCATCATCCAAACGTGGCTCAGCTCACACCACATCAAGAAATGACAAAACCCGCCTCCAGGTCACGTTTTCAGGCGACGAGTCGGCGGCCTCCGTCGCCTCAACTGCAAGCCCCTAGAAACCGGGAAACAAAGCAACAGGGCACTCCCGGGGTGAAACCTGATGAGACAAAAGCAAGCTGTTGGGGTTCCTGATGAGCTTAGCCAAGGGTGTTTGGTCTATACCAGAGCAGTTGAGCAGCGCCCAAAGCCTTGACTTCTGCTTCTACTACGATGGTTGCAAAGGCTGAGACCCAGGTAGAACCAAATCCGAATATGACCAAGAATGGTTTTGGACGATGCTCGCTTGACGAAGACTCCACCAACTACTTGACCATCCAGCTACGCCTAGAAACTGGCCCGGGCTAGCTAGACCTTCAGAGTGTAGAATCTCTCGTAGCTTCCACGTGACACATACCTTTGAACACACACACACACACATTCCAGCTGCCCCACTGGTCAAAACCCTCTTACATGAAATAGAGTATACGGTCTCCTTCCACGAAAGCCAACTGAACATTGCCGTCGCGCTCAATGGGTTGGTGCCCGCCACGGACCATTGGTTGACGTTGGAAGGGGAGCCAAATGTTAAATGCTAGCAGTTCAGTGGTTGGATTTCAACCAATAAACCCCCATAAGCAAAAATGCAAAAATGCTTCCCAACAACCACCAAGAAAGGTGGAGCTGAGGTTCGGCCGCGGGAACTCCGAGGTTCCGCGCCATCTCTTCCTGCGCCTCGCGCTTCAGGCGCTTGGCCTCGGGGCCTGCGATGCGAGGTAGCGGCGTTTGGGGGGCGTGGTTTCAGACCCAAGACACAGGCCTACAAAGAAGCAAGGAAGCAAGGGGGGCAGCAAGGGTGGTTGGCAACACTCAGGGAACTGAACGAGAGCACAGGAATGGAACCTCACGATGAGACCGCAGCTGGGTCACGCGGAACAGGGGTGGGCCTCAATCCACAAAGTGGGAATCAATCATTGACCAAGCATCGCATCGAGCAAATCGAATGTATGGCTTGAGTACCATTACTCCCCAGATAGCTGAAAGCTTTAGGGGTTCTAACTGTTGGTTTGGGGTGCTAGTGGCGGTGTGGACGCATTTTTGCGAGATTGACGGCAGGATGCTACGAGGCATGCAGTTTGGAGCAGGTGCTGCTCTGGGTGCTGTTTGAGGTGCTGTCGACGGCGCAGGCGCGTTTTTGCGAGATTGACGGCCTGGGGCATGCAATTTGGGGTGCTGCTGCAGATGTGCTTTTGGGCTCTGTTCGCTGGTGACGCTGCGGGCGCATTCTTGCTGGATTGGCGGCCGGGCTGTTTGGGGTGCTGTTCGGGGTGTTGTTGGATGCTGATTTATTGACGGTAGGGCTAGGGGCATGCAGCGTGGGGTGCTGATGCAGGTGCAGTTTTTTCGCTATCTGGGTCTATGGTGTAATCTTCTTTGCTCATTGATGCCCGTCATCATCTCCTACCTATCAGAAGTGAACAACATGCGGGCTGGTCCGTGACACTGCAGGATCCCAGCAACCATGTAAATTGTGGTTTCCCGGTGCCACGTTGAGCAGCAAATGAGATGCGCTGCGTCGTCGAAAAAGAAGGCATAAAATGCGTCGAAAAAGCCACAGGCAAGCAAGCTCGTGGATCCAACATCCTTTCAACATGCACAATCCGATCTCATGGCTCGCAGGGCCGGCTGCAGATCCTTTGTCGCTCTCTGTGTCGCTGTACGCATTCGGAGGTCTCGACAATCCTAATCAAGGCCTAGCGAAAATTAGAAGCGGCATGCACGCTGCGCAAGGCTCTCTGCGGCAGCACCCAAAAGCCGAATATCTAAATCTATCAACTGCTCCTTTGGCAGCCCAATGGCATCAAACATGCCCTCGAATTCCCTGTGAGCGCCTCTCCCGAAGCCTGTGAAGCTTTCTGTACCACTGGTAGGTCAGCAGAAGATCCATCTGGCGCAAGAAAACTCCCGAAGTCAGCGCCTGTTTCAGCGCCCAAAGTTTCAAGCGCCTGCCCTCTTGCCCGAGGCCAGCAGCCGGAAGGTGACCTCCTCCCCGGAGGCCGAGGAGTTGGAAACCCACAGCTTGAAGTCGCCAGGCTCCGCAATGAGCTTCCCATCTGCCCCGTGGAAGGACAAGTCCTGGGCCCCCCTGTGAAACCAAAATGTGACACATTCATGTGAGACACTAGTAACACCTTGGCTCAGGAAAAGACCCATGTCTTCGCATCTGCTTGCTCATCTTCCATAAATCACTTCTGCCAACAACAACCCGCTCCCTTTCCCCCGTCCTCCCGGCGCAGCTTGAAGCTCACTTTCTTCGCCTCCCCCGGTTTCAGGCAGACCTTCTCGAAGCCTTTCAGCTCCTGGACTGGGCGCACGCGGCTGGCCACGCAGTCGTTGATGTACAGCTGCGCGACCTGAAGCATCGGCTTAGGCATCCGCCCCCATTTTCGGATGCCTGAAAGAACAGCTGAGGGAGCGGCCACTGGGTTGGAGAACCCCACAGTTGTGAAGGAGAACCAATAGGAGCCGCTTCCATGACATGCATTGCGTTCCATGACAAGGAAACATGGGAGGGGAACCAGTGTGGTCTTGGATTGCTTTCCAAACTATTCAACATCCAAGAAGCCAAAGCCGGACCTTCATTCCCACGGGGCTTGCTTTGAACCGCCCGCCTCCTCCCCCGCTCGCTGGCCCGTGTTCGTCACCTCCACAGTGACCTCCAGCGCCTCGTCCCAGCCCAGCGCCGCAGTGCTCAGCTGGGGCCGCGCGAAGGCGAAGGACGTGTAGCTCAGCCCAAAGCCGAAGGGGTACAAGGCCCTGGGGTGCACCTCCCGCCAGCTGGCCTCGAAACACTTGTGCCAGAGGAAAAATAGGGATCCATTGAAAAATGTTGAATGGGATGTAGGTATTGAGGAAAACCCCTGAAAGGTGCTGGCACATCGTGTTTCCATGCCATCGTGTCTTCCTATCAATTAGGAACCCGTGTTCTAACCATGCAGCCACAAACGTTGGCTCGTCCTGCAAGTCTTCGCCAAATCCGCAGCCCCGCAGCCCGCCTTGAAGGTTCTGGGCATGTCCCTCTGTGGCCGTCCCGTCCTGGGGGTGTTGTAGAACAGCGGCTGCTGGCCCGAGTCCGACGGGAAGCTCACCGGCAGCTTGCCTGAGGGGTTGTAATCCCCGAAGACCACGTCGGCCACCGCCGGGCCCGTCTGGGTGCCCAGGAACCAGGTCACCAACATCCCGCTCGCCTCCTGAAGCATCGCAACACCCGCGCGGAGCGGCTCCCAGTCCGACCCCAAATCCTTTCTCGCGAAAGGAGAAAGCTGGCACTGCCCTGGCTCCAAATCTTTCTGGTCAAAGCACATGCTGCCAAGAAATGTTGGAGGCCGAGTATGTAGGTTTTACTGCTTATTGGGCTAGCGGCCCTGACATGATAGTCATCATATTTCCCACCCAAACAGAGCCTAATTTGGGAACTCGCTGAAAGGCTTTTGGCTACCCAATGTCTCATCCTTCCAAACCTAGAATATCAGCAAGCGCTCCTCGCTCAAGATCACGAGAAGAACAACAAATACGATATTCCTCCAAAAGGAACTCTAGCCTCTATATCCATAGACACATTTCGACTTTTGGCCCTCATCCCTCCAAAAAAGGAAAGACAAAAACACGAAGGGGCACCCCGAGCCGCCAACCCCCCGCTCGCCCCAAGCCTCGCCCCGAGCCCCGAGCACCCCTCGATGGATCCACAACTCGATCGGGATCTCCTGCAGCTTCCCCAGCGCCAGGGCGCGGCCCGTGCGCAGCAGCACCACCACGGGCTTCTTGGTGGCCATCACCGCCTCCGCCAGCTCCAGCTGGGCCTCGCAAAGGGAATAAAAGCCCTTCGACGGGATTCGACAAGCATGGCAGGGCTGGATTTTGGCCATTGGAACCGGCTGAAAATCAAGGTGTGCTTTTTTCCAGCTGTGCGCAATAGTGGAGATCATGGTGGTGTCGTGTTGCATCCAAAATCCATGGCGGTGTTGCTTTTCAGCACAGGCCCCGTATGTTTGGTAGGGAAACTGATGATCCAAATCAATGATGGAGGTGGGGCTGTATGTGTTCCCTCTTGTGGCGGTTTTGAATGGGCGTATCATCCGGCAAAACTATGCTTCAATGCGACTGCCAAGGATCCCATCCCTCAAATCAGCTGATCCCTTGATTTGTGTTCAACCTCGATGTGCGTTTCACCATGGTGGCCAAACCATGCACCCTCTGTTTGGATAGCTTTCCAAGGGAATCAACATCAAACCGCCCCCTGTCAGGGATCCCTTAGTTTTGACACATACCCACATGTGTCGTTTTTGGATGGTATCTGTCCTGGTGTTGCTTTGAAGGCAAACTGAACGCATACCTGTTCTGGGAAACTCGGTGTCAGTTTTCAACATGGGCTTCTTTGACCAGGATCACAAGTCGCATCAGCTTGGAAATCCATGAGACAAATAATACATATATATATATATATAATATATACACATGCATACCTTTGAAAAAAAAAAGGCTGCGTTGCGGCGGGCCTTGGGCACCACGATCTGCGTCCGGCTCTGGGACTCTCCGGAGAAGTCCGAGGCCTCCCCGACGCAGAGCAGCACCACCTGGGCCGGTCGCTCGCTCCCTGGGTTCGACCCATCCCGAAGCTCTCTCCTCAAACCAACCAGACAAATTGGTACCAAGAACCATATCAACCGACCAGAAACTAACAAGGCTGTGGGAGATGTAGGCCAATTTTGGTGTAACTGTTTTGCAAAGCCAGAAGCTAACCTTACAAGTCGGGGTCCTGATGCCTCTTCGTTTGAGGATATCGAGTCAAGGACACTCAGAAAGAAACGGACCCATTTCAGGTGCTCCATGAGTCTCTCCTTTTTGGAGACCCCAGTTTTGGTTGGTTTTAGACGCAAACCGAAACGGAAAGCCGACATTTTGGGTATACTGAGACACCCCGGTTTCGGGTTGGTTGGACGCATCCCCAGCATCCCTCAGTTTGGGTGCAATTATTCTCAACAAAGGTGCTGGCTGCTCTAGGAATGTCCTTGCGTGACTTTGGGCTAGCTTGGGAGCCAACCAACCCACCAACCCGCCAACCCCCCCAACCAACCAACCAACCAACCAACCAACCAACCAACCAACCAGCCAGCCAACCAACCAACCAACCAAACCAACCAACCAACCAACCAACCAACCAACCAACCAACCAACCAACCAACCAACCAACCAACCAACCAACCAGGCTTCAGCCCCAACCAGGGTTAAGCCCCAACCAGGGTTAAGCCCCAACCGGGGCTGGTAAACAAGAAAACGGTTCTTTTTGTTGGCAACCAATGTGAGTTTGTCTCCACATGAACCCCTCCAAATTGTAGCCTTCCTTTTGGTCATCCTTGAAAACACCAAAAGAGTACTCTCAAACAAGCACCAAGCCATCTTGAGTTGCCGCTTGTCTCCCAAAATGCCCTTTTGAACAGGGTTGCCTTAAAGGGAAACGCGGCAAACTCCGTTTTTCGGGGCTCCAAAATCCCCCGAAACTTCGGGGGCCAAGTTGCCTCGGCGCTCTCCGCGGCCTTCACCGCCTCCTCGATGCCCCCTGCCAGCGGCGCCTCCACCTCGCAGCCCTTGACGACGCAAAGGTTCGAGGCCCCGGCGGCCCGCAGGCCCGCGTCCACCGGCACCGAGAGCTTCTTGTCTCCATACACCTCGCTGGCAGAGCAGGACAAAAAGTGAAAAAAGTCGCAAAGTGCCGGAGAAACGAAAAGGGTGGGTTGAAAGTTGGTCAAATGCTTAACATGAAGCCAATGTCCGAAAAGGGGAAAAGATGTCCAACTTCAGCTGAGGGCGCCGTCCAGCATCCCTCCAGGTCGCTGTCTGAGGAGAAGGGCCCGATCAGCGCGATCTTCTGGGTTTTCTTCAGGGGCAGCACGTTGCCCTCATTCTTCAAGAGGACGATGGACTTCCTGGCCGCCTCACGGGCCAAGTCCTTGTGCGCCGCCTTCAGCTTGTCCAACGTCTTCTCCACCTCGAAGTCGAGGCACTTGTAAGGGTTCTTGAACAAGCCAATCGCTTTCTTGATCCGCAGAATCCGCCGCACGCCCTCATCCACATCTTCCATGGAAACGTCCCCCTTGGCCACCAAATCCGGCAAATGCTGAACGTACAAGCCACTCTGCATGCTCATGTCCACTCCAGCGTTGAAGGCCAAACGAGCAGCATCTCGCCCATCCGCTGCAAAGCCGTGTTCGATCAACTCTTCATCGGCTGTGTAGTCCGACACCACGAAGCCTTTGAACCCCCATTCTCCTCGCAAGAGCTCGGTCTGAAGCCACCTGTTCAGAGCTCAAATCGAGAAACATATTTCAGGATGGGGGGGCAAAACGACAAGCAAAATCCGAACCCCGCAGGCCCATCACTTTCGCCGGCCGCTCTTTCCACAGCATCCCCAACGACCGTTTCGGTGGGCCTGTTGCCGGAGGCCGGCACCCCCGCGATGTCGTTGAAGGCGCTCATCAGCGTCAGCGCCCCGGCGTCGAGGCAGGCCTTGAAGGCCGGCAGATGCACGTCCCGCAGCGTGGCTTCCGAGACCTCCACGAAGTTGTAATCCATGCCTCACTCGTAAAGTTTACTACATGCAAAACAGGGCGGAACAAAAGGGTCCGTGACCAAAACCCCCCTGCTCAGTGAGGAGGACCCAGAGACGAAGCAGGAAAATAACTCATGGTGCCATGGCCCAAGACCCAGACAAGCAATTGCTTTGATGCCGGCGCAACTGGTGTGAATAGGGAACAGAGATGGTTCCCGTGATCTGGCAGCCCAGAGCAGAACCCAAAAGAGCGCAGGTGGGCGAAGTCCATCGTTGGGGAAAAACCGTTTCCTTGAAGAGAGTGTATTATCTTGCTCCGCAGATCAAACCCTTCCTGACCGAAGACAGGTGCGCGGGGTCCCACACGCGCGCCCGTTGGAGTCGATAAAGAACCAAAAGAACCAGTAGCACCCAAAAAGCAACAAGACAAGAGACAAACCAACCACACAAGTTCCACCCTTCCGGTTGCCACGCCTCCGGAGACCCCGCCATAGGCGGCGAAGTGCTTGGGGGTTGCCAGCAGGCAATCCGCCGCCTGCAGATCGCTGCCCTGGAAGCCTTTCACCCGTGCCACCCCAAGCGCCTTGCCCAGGCACACGTCCTGCGCGAGGCCACGCGCAAGGGGCCCCGGGGCCTCTCAAAACGGGGGGGTTCTTGCCTTGGAACGGCTTGATGTATGCGGGGAGCTCATTTTCGTTGGCCGGCGCCCGTCTGATGTTGTGCAATGAGACGAGCAAGGCATCAGCATCACACAAAGCAAGGCGACAGGAGGAGCACCCGGCCTCTAAGAAGACCAAGGCATGGAATTGTCACAGTTTTTGAAATTAGACAAAACTGCGAATCACGCAATCTGGCAAAACACAAACCCACACACACACACACTCACACACACACACAGACCCTATCTGTAGATGATCTGTAGATGCTGGGATAAAAGTTGCAAGCTACCCCCAAAACGGTCCAAACCCAACATGTGCTGCGAAAAAGTTGTGTTGGCAACCGCCCCAGAGCTGGCTCTTCAGATTTGATGCCCCCCATCAGGTTTGGCAGGGTTGGGGGTTGGGGCCATCACCCACACAGGGTTCACCGAACCCGTCCTTGGCACACTTCTGGCATGAGAAAATACTTTCCCACTCTGCCCCACATTTGGTCTACCCCAAAATATAAGGTTTGTTTGGAGGACGCCCCAGCACAAAGGAAGGGCCTGTCCTCCCCAGAGCCTTCGGCGACTCTTCCCCAACGCTGGTCTCTGGCCACATCCACCTTGGGAGACTCTCGCCACCCGACAGCAAGAGCCAGTGGCAAGCAAACACACTGGACCTAAGGAAGCACGCCCAAAACAAACAAACAAACAAACAAACAAACAAACAAAAAACAAACAAACAAACAAACAAACAAAAACAAACGAGGCACGTCTTTCCTTCGGACTCAAATGACTGCACAGATTCCAGAAACATGGCAAAGGCGGATCAATGACAGCAACCAAAATCCAACAGCCAACAGCACTCCACAGCAACTCACCTGCAAGCAACAATGCAGACCGACCAAACATGTGGCACCCTCTTAGCAAAAGTGCGCCAAGTGCGCCCAGCCGCCATGGGAGCAAAGGTCCAGTGTATGCCCGAGGCCGTTGCCTCGAGCGCAGTGGCCCGGGCCGTCTTAAAGGCCAAATCCACGTCCCAGCTGGCTGCCTCCCCCAGCGGGATGGGAAAAATGGTCCACATGCCTCGGCTGCATAAACCCGGCCATGACGTTGATCCCATCAGCGCTTCAACCCGTCAACCTGTCAACCCCCCCTTTTCTATGCGGCCGCATCCATGGTTTCGTATCAATTTCGTCCGCCAATTGAATATGAAAGGCTTCTATTCTATCCATCAGGCATGCCCGGTCTTTACTCCCAGCTGACTCAAATCATGTCTTTACATGTGATTGCCAACTTGGGTCCAAACAACATTGCAGCTGGAGCTCTACTGCGGACACGTCAGTTTGGGCTCATCCCCTTGGGGGCCGTTTGGTAGCTTGCGTCGGCCCCGCCCCGCAGAGTCTGCCTCAAGGCTGGAGGGCGCTCTTGCCTTCACGCGAGTGAACAGTCTACAGGTCAGTATGAACTCCCTGAAATGCGGCCTGGATGTTTTCATGGGGCATGACTTTTGCGAAAGGGTTTGAAACAGAGTTTCGGGATGGATAAAACAGGCCCTAACCCACCAACAAGAAGAGACCACCTTATCCCCCCAGTCCCAAGGGCAAAGCGGTTGCCCCCGGCCGGCACAAACACGAACCAAAAGGGGTGCCTCGTTGTAACAAGAAGGAACCAAGCAGAAGCGCAGCGCAGCGCAAAGCAGGCAAGCAAACCAGCAGCGAGCAGCACCAAGCGAGCAAAGCGAGCAAGCGTGCAGTAGCAAAACAAAGGGCGACCTCCCAACACAACACCCGACCCACCTCCACGAAGACCCGGACCACGGCCTGCCGGCCCCGCGCACCTTTTGCGCGAAGACGGTGGCCAGTGCCGCCGCGAGCACGTGACGAGATGGCAAGTGAGGGTTGCCGGAGATAAAACTTGAGCCAAATGGCGCATTGGCCATGGCAATGAGCAAACATGCTATGATAAAAGTACATGCCCCCAAAAACACCCCCCTCGACTGTACAAAGAGAAGGAGTGAATTTGGAAAGGCGCATTGGCCATTTGAAGTTGAATAGCACCAAATAAGGAACAAAGACGATTAGACTACCAGGGTTCGCGACCCCATACCCGGGCTCGCTTTGGAGCCCGGATCCCGCCACCACCCCGAATTACGGGTATGGGGCGGATCACGCCGGTAGCCAAATCAACCAAGAGAAACAAAAGAAGGAAAGAAACAAAGATTCAACTCCAAGATGGCAGGCATGAAATATCTGCGATGCAACCACATTGAATCATTAGATTCACGTGGATTTAGGGCTTGAATTATATTGTCAAAAGCGCATTGGCTTGCTGGTTGAAACGTGGTGCATAGACTGAAATATCTCGGCCTTGAACGGCACCGTCTAGGCGCGCGATCACTCGAAGACAACTCGAAGACAACCTCCAGGGACACCGCCAGCGGCATTCGGCGGTTCAGGTCCGAGTAGGACCTCACCGGCAGCGGTGCGGGGCATCCGTGATCCTCACCTCGGCACCTTGATGAGCTCCATCACCAGCAGCAGCAGCGGTGCAGGAGGATGCAGATCACCAGCGGCCATAGACGCCGCCGAGGGTGACTGCCTTGCTGTGGCGACGCACACCTGACAGGTAATCGCAGCTTGCGCGAATAGCGCACAGCCACGCATGCAGATGAATTCTGAAATGGCGAATAGCCCAGACAACGAAATACGACAAGGAGCATAGTCCATCCTGTGAATTCCGAAATGAAAGCATGCGCGCGTTGGCGCAGCCATGCAAAACACACAGACAGACTTCAGGTATTACTGATGTCGTCCGCCGCCGTGCCGTCCCTTCCCCTTGTTGACATTCCAGTCCCCGAGGAGGCACTGTCTCGGCCAACTCGTCATCGTCACCCCAGGTAGGGGTATGCGGCGAGTTCGGATTCTCGAACTCGCGGGGATCACCCTGCATATGCGGCTGCCAACCCTGCGGCATTGCGCCGGGCCACATTTGCGGCATCATGCCAGCCATGGGCTGTTGCATGTATCCTCCCATCGGGAAATTGGGATACATCGGACTTGGGAACGGGAAAGGAGCAGCCTGTGCGCCCCTGTAGCCCGACTCGCGAGCATCAGGCTGATACCCGCCAGTGGGAGTTCTCGATCTGGCGGATCCGCCACGACCGAACTGCCCTTGTTGGTAGCCGTATTGGCCACCCTTGCCTTTGTACTGGTCACCCTTGTGACCCTTTCCTGTAAATTGCCTTTGTACTGGTCACCCTTGTGACCCTTTCCTGTAAATTGGTTTGTGACCCTTGCCGGAGAACTGGTCACCCTTGTGACCTCCACCCTTGGGCCAGGAGTGCGCAGGGGCTTTGCCCTTTTGTTGATCCCCCTTTGCCCTGAAATCAGGTCGCGGGGTAGCAGACCGATGATCTCCCCTAGGAGTGGCTGCCCGCCTATGGTGCTTCCCAGACGGCGGGTCAGCGAAAACGATGGCGCTTTGGCCGTCTCGCCGTGCCGCGGAGACCATTTCAACCTTGTTGATTTCGACATAAATGTATGCCTCAGCATACTCAATCGGGGCCGTGATGGATCCACCACCGGCCCGCAGAGAGTCGATACTCAAATCGAGAACTGTGGAGGCATCAAAACTTGGGTCCTCACTATTGAAGTCCGAGAGGCGTCGCTCAGCCTGTACCAATGACATTATAATGTCCGCACGTGAGGCGCCTAGGCCATACAGTGGAACCAAATATCCGTCCTCAATCCCGATGCGGTAGGCATCAAAAATATGCACAGAGAGGTAAAGAGCAAATGCTGAATTTAGACTGCCCTTTCTCGTCATATGACGACCCCATTGCGCCGCCTGTTGCGGGCGCTCGACCAAATATGTCATGACAGACATATTGTCGGGAATTGGGACGCCAGTATTGCTCTCCTCGATGAGCAGCTGTTTTGCTACCCACCGCTCGAGAGCCTCGTCACTCGCACGCACACAAGCGTGAGTGTCCCTTGAGGTGACTTTCACAACCTCCTGAAACGCAACCTGCACGGTATCCGCATTGGGATTGTGCACAAGATGAGGCGCACAGCGCAAACCGGAGATCATACAGCTGACCACCTCGCGGATCGGGTTTACCGACGCCATGAGAGGAGCCCACACGTCAGTCTCCCCTTCATACCAGCTGTTGGCACGGACTGCCTTGAGTCCGTCCAGCCAAACTGGCTGCCCTCTCCTAACTTGGGAGCGGATGGTGCCTGGCACCCATTCTCGATAGAAAATCGGCAAATGGCAACCATTGCATAGAATGGTGCCATACATATTCAAATGCGCGCACCGAGGGCACCAATAGTCATGCATGGGAGCTTTGTCCCATGAAAATGACACCCCTCTCCGCGGTCCCTGGACATTCAATTCTCGGACCGCCCAGGGACGGATGTATATTACATCCCCTTCCTGGTGCAGATAACATGCGCGCCAGAAGGGCGCATGTATCTCCTCTCGCACAGCAATCAAACCGCGTCGGGTTTTATAGATGCCGGCGGCTTCCTCGATGGCCATCCACTTTAGGTCAACGGCCACAACGACATGGCGCTTGTCCATGTATTTGACGCGATCGTCAACATAAAATTCGCCCTCATTATTGGGGCTTGGCAACTTGAGGAGAGGCACCTTTGCGCCCTCCAACCCAATCATGATCTCCCCCCTGCAGACCTGCTCAGGTCGCATGGGAAAACTGTGATGGCGAATTTGCCGGGCCTCCGAATGCACCTCGTTTTGAGGGCGGACCGATACTCGGCCATCGTCAGCAGCACGTATCCCGTGCAAGGGACCTCCGCTGCTCCCAACGGCCTAAGCAAAGGCCCCATAGGCGTTCGGTCACGCAGTGCCCAACGCTTGAAAACTTTGAACGGCACGTCCCTCCCGATTAGGGTGGAACGCGCAAAAAGCACCTCATTCGGGCGCACAGTCGAGCCATCTCCGTCCGTATTAGGAGCTCGACTGGAGGGTACGCTGGGCTCTCCTTCGCGAGAGAACCCGCCCAGGTCGCCACCTCGACACTCGTGCACTTATGGATCCCGTATAGGGCCTCAAAGAGCGTTGAGATTAGAGTCATTGACATCCAACCTCCCAGAATGTCTGGAACCGTCCCACACAAGCTGGGAGCCGGCTCACCGGGCTTCACGTTCAACCGCGTTGGGTCAGTGTTGCCCGACAAAATTTCTAGCAGCATTTGCGACTCCCTGGAGCTTCGCCCAAGCATCGCCGACGTATCGTTAATCTCGGGGAAGAAAATGGAAGATGTCGTTACCGGCAGGACAGGCGATTCTGCCTGCTGTCCCGCTCTGTGCATCAAACACAACCTCTTCACCCTCGAATGTGAGGTTGTAGGTGCTCGCAATCGGGCACACATCGGGCTTTGCCATCAGTGCATCCTCTAGCGTCGCACCAGCAGGGAGGACGCCCTTTTCGTGCGCTTTGGCACCTATGGGACCAGTCCCCGCTGACATAAGCCGATAATTTTCGGCACGAACGTATGGAAATAGGTTTTTCATCCTCTCAATTTCCTCTTCTGTGGTGCGCCACGCCTTTGCCTCATAGTAGGGCGGCTCCTGCCTTGAGGGCACTAGGTCGCGGTCGCCCATTGACGAGAACTTGTCCACATATGGGCCCATCCCATCATCATCTATGTGGCCCTCGTGATCCTCATCCGAGACGTACTCCCTGGGTGGCTCGCCCAGAGCGTCCAGATCGACCTTACCAAGGTCGACCAACGCCGGAGAATCCAGGATTCTCTGGATCCTCATGAGCTCGTTTCTGAACTGCTCAAAGCCTCCGGGCTTTCCAGTTACGGAGGTCGGCATTGCGCCCTCCCATGAGTCTGGAAACATGCACACATTCGTAGGGGAATACTCGTCATCGGAAATATCCCGATCACGCTCCCGTACATCGCTGATCAGTGTCACATCCAACAAGCCGCTTAGGGCCTCAGGACGTGACGCTTTCGCCGGATGCGGCTTTGCGCTCTTTGACGCTACAGCAGCCTCTTTGGGCGCTTTGTTCTTCTTCTCATCGCCCTTACTCCCCTCTCTATCCACATC